CAAAGAGCTCGTGCCAAAGGTCGTGAAAGACGAGGAAGCGCCGGGAGTGCTGCTTCCGCTGGGAGAGCCAGACGAGAGCACCGACGAAGATCCGCTGCTCGAGCTGAGAGTGACGCTGACAGAAGACGTCGGAGTGGACGAGATCCCGGTGATCGCGGAAGTCGGCAAGCTGGTGGTGTTCGACACGGCGGCAGGGGGCTGCACACTCAGAACGAAACCAATGTTCGCCGGGATAGGGGTATTGGTCGGCGCCTGAGCATTGGCACCGAGAGCCAAGGCCGCGAATACGGCCGCGTGTTTGGTCCAGGCCATCGTTTCGACTTTACCCTTTTTCGTAAGCTAAGAGGGAGAGAACGAGAGTGAGCGGGTAATGAAAGCTTCTAGCAGAAGAAAAGAGTGGATGCCCAACTTGACTGACGAGGACTGATGAACAAGGGGAAAGAGCGAGAGATGTGGGCCAAGAAATAGGATGAAGAGAGCTCAGCAAGATCTGCGAGGTTCCAGTTATTTGGTCCATCTTGACGGAGGTGAACTTTGCAAAGGGCCATACTCCTGCTTGGAATTCCCAACGGGCCAGAGAGTGAAGAGGGTGAAGACTTCATTGGGCGCCATCATGCCGTTAAGCCATTGCCCATCATTCCTCTCGTGAGGTAGGCTACTGGTGTTCAGCAGTCGCGTGCCCAGCCCGAGACACTCCTCAGAAGCCATGAATTTCTCTGCTAAATGAACACTACAATTATCCGAGCAGATCGGCTCGGGTTGCTCATGGGGTCCAAAAGTTGACTGGCTTGATCACGAATGATAGAATTCCAACGCTCGTCTTGACACATGTGGGAAGGAAATGAGGTTGATGTTCGAAGGGTAGCGCTCACGGCACTTCAATACCGAGTCCCAGGGCGATGAAATATCTCGTTTCGCTCAGATATGCCGTACGACGTTGAGATTGAGACAGCAGCCTTCATGATCGTGCGGCTGAAGGATGAAGTACCTAGGTAGACGCTAAGCATTTCATTGTCTCGGGCGTCTGGCTTAGGGCCCAGGGGGCTGTCGAGGTTCTCGCCGTTACACACAATTCCAGCACGGGCCGAATGAGGAATTTAGGGTTGAGGTTGCGTGGCAGACACGGCCCGAAGAATGCACTGAAAGCCGAGAGGTAACGACATGGAGAGGAGGCGGTTGCGTCCCAGGCAAGGGAGGGATGATCACGACATCTGGATGCGACTCCCTCCCTGTGCAGCCCCTGACGTTGTCTAACATACATAATAAGCCCTGATTCCAGACAACCTCACGTTACACCAGGTAAATGAATATCATAAGGGTTGCGTGTGTAGGTAAGCCACCATTTTGAACAAGAGTATTCATAGATAAACAGACCTGGATTGACTACCTACCACCCCGGAAAGTCGCCATTATACGCCACCATCTTGCCACCATACTTCTCCTTGCTCGCCGCAGCAAGGACCCCCATCATACCATCGCACGACTCATCGACGCCAATGTGTGCCTTCTCCAGCCCCAGGCCTCGAGCGCCCGCATTGCCGAGGTCGGTCTGGACCCAGCCCGGAATCAGTACCCAGGCGTTGAGCCAGTCTTCTTCGGCGTTCATCCTGACCGTGAGCCAATTCACCGCGGCCTTGGAGGGGCCGTAAGCGGCGTTTGGGATGGGAGGTTGGTTCCTTTTCGAGCGATGTCAGCTGACCTTGTGTTGATCCCTTTACCTCAATTTACCTATTTGAGAGGCAACATGTAACTCACTCTATACACCCAGCCGTCGAACCCATCGGTACAAACATTGGTTCCTTGGATGACTTGCGCAGTAGCGGCCGCGTAGCCTGATACAGCGCGACGACACCGTAGACGTTGGACTCCATGTGCGCCTGGAGGTCGGCGGTCTTGAGCTCGGCGATGGCCGGCCAGGCGTACGAGATGCCGGCGTTGGCGATGACAATGTCGAGGTGGGTGATGCCGTGAGTTTCCTGCAGCTCCTTTACAGCGTCATGGGCATCCTTCTCGACAGAGGCATCGATCTTCACTACTATGAGCTTGCTTCCGTCGGCTTTGGGTAGGCCATTGAGGGCTTGCGATGTTGCGTGGGTGGGGTCGCGGTTGCCTGCGATCACGGTGTGGTTTGGGAGGGCCAGATAGCGCTGGAGGAGGCCTTTTCCTAGGCCTCTGTTTGCACCGGTGACGAGGATTGTGGTTAGTGCCATGGTATCCGGAGCGAGATATCTCTGTGGAGGTAAGACAGTGACTATCGTGTTCCTGTTGTTGCCTCATAGAAGAATGAGATGTATCATGTACGGGCATCTGGTACCTGGATCTCATGAGGGCAAGAGTTTGATATAGGTGAGCTACGGCAGATCCCGGTCTTGATTAAGGCGTGATAAATCGAAGGCAAGACTGCGAGGTTAGCAATAGAGTGTCAACGTTATATAACGTTACGGATATGGGCGGAACTCTCCGTAAGGTCCGTCACGTACCCCAGCCAGCAGGAACGGTAAGCACTAGTGAAGTGACCGATCCTATGCTTTGTTCACTCCAAGTACGTTATACGGTAAGAGAGCGAGCGTGCCCCGAAAAAAGCCATAGATCTTCACTGTGTTCTCAGCAACGAGGTCATGGCCTTTCGGCACTAGATCAACTCTGCGGAACACATGCGGGATACTTGCGGAAGATTCACGGGGCGTCTGTGGGTCCTCTGCCGGTAAGCTGGCCCGGCCCCACTAGTCCCGCCACGGCGTCCGACCAGCGCGGAGACTGCAATTTCAAAATCCCCCTTAATTAGCGCAAATCTCTGATTGGCGGTCATCCAAAACCCTCACCCGCAACCAGCAGATTTTGCACTCCAAACCCTCGCTTCTCGCACGCCCCGTTCACCACATCGCAAAGTCGGTTCCCCGTTCTCGCCCATTCATATTCGTCCTGGCCCCAATGGGTCTCCAACAATACCTGGTCTGGTGGTGTAGTTGGTTATCACGTCAGTCTAACAGCTCGAGTAGCTTCACCTCTCTCGTCTGCCACACTGAAGGTCTCCGGTTCAAGTCCGGGCTAGATCATACCATGGGCGATTGGTTTAGTGGTATAATGACCGCTTAGCATGCGGTAGGTCCTGGGTTCGATTCCCAGATCGTCCATTCTTTTGCTTGCTGATGCCTTGGCCAGTTTTTTATGTCTCTCTGGGAATGCTGGGTAGCTTGTTCGGTCGATTTTGGGCCCATGAAGGGGCGGATAGTTGAAGGCTGACTGGCAACGAACGTATCCATTAGATTCATCTGGCTCGCCCGAAGCGAGTTTGGATTCGGACGTGAGAAAGAAAAAGTTAGTGGTATGAGATCGATGTATTAGCGCACCGGTCTTTCGATGTGCGGCTCATCTGTAGTCGCAAAGCTGCATCGGTATATTAGGGGCCTAGCCCCCTCTCGTCCTGTCTCGGGTGAGTGGGATAGCAGACCACCCGACCCGCGGGACCACTCCGTCTTGAAGCCATCATCGGTACTCGACCCAGTGCTCCAAGTCATTTTCGAGTAATAGTGCCCTTGGTTTGCCTCCCGAGGAAGCCTCCCAGCCTAGGCCCCATCTAGGGAACGTTTGGGTGCAGCAATGGAGTAGTGTCCTAGCAGCGTGTCGATCAATGAAAGACTCGTGGCCGTAGGCAGAGGCCATCCATTCCCATCTCCCACCAAGCTTACTGCAGCCTTCACTGAATTGCCCTGACGAAGCTTGCGCATCCGTGCTGTAGGGGGATCTCTGGGGTGCAGAGGAAACTGCCACCCCGATGTAGTGTTTCTGGGAGGGCTGAGACTTGTCGATCAGTGGCGGGACGATTTTGATTGAACGTGGGGCCTGCAACCGCGAGCATTGGTAGTGTTGATGCCTATGTCGAGCGTGTAGGATGCCGCACCAACCACGGAGGTTGCTCTCACTCTGACCGCAATGGTAGCCGCACGCCTCGCCTACCCGTTCTCCACAGCTCAACGGCCTCTATTCCCCATCAGACGGGTCCTCATTGATTCAGCAGAGAAAGAAACCTTTCTCGGGTTAGTCTGGCGCTGGCGACTATGAGCACTTCCAGACTCCCTTCTCCTCGTCCAGCTCAAACTTTGTAGACTTCATGCTGAAGAGATACGTAAAGATCCTCTCCGTCTCGCCGCCGAGCACCGGCAATTCAACAACATCTTCTTCATGTAGAGCCCACCCCTGGTTGTCGACCTGGTTCCAGAACTCATTCTCGTCCGGATGCCGCTTCTTCCACGCAATGTACACCCACGTCTGCACACTCTCGTTCGACCTCTTCGAGATGTTGTGCACGTGGACCGCCGTCCAGGTATTCACCAGAGAAGGCAACGAGTCCACATTGTACGTGCAATCGCTCATGACGACAACGTCCCACGTCTTGGCCTTGACCAGCGGCCCAAACACCCCCGTCCGGCCGTCGTCCCAGTCGAGGTTCTCATACCGCGGGTGAATACTCGCCGCCCCGTTCATCACGAGCCTGTCGATATTCGCGCAAGCGCGGTGCTCGGCTTCCGGTAAATCCGTCATGAGGATCGCACCCTCGCCCTTCGGGTCCGCATCCGATAAGAGCTGCGCCAGCCCGTTTCCCAAGATGCCGACACCACAGCCAAGCTCGAGGATATTCACCGGTCCGTTTTCGAAGAGGAGGCTGTGGAACGTCTTCATGCGCCACGGGTGCTTCTCCGCAGCGAAGCTCTCCCGCGTGTTCACCTGCCACAGCCCAGACACGGCCATCAACCCGGCATCCCAGATATGCCGCGCGATGCTCTCCCCGATATCCTCCTCAATCTCAAAGACCGGCTCCGAGGAGCGATCTCCATGGCAAAGTCTCCGGACGCAGGTTGTTGGCGCCTCGGCGCCTGGCGTCTGCACATCTGCCCAGAGGGGTAGGATCTTGCCGCACTCGCCCTCCAACCCCGCGAAACTGACGCTCGTCGCCGTGTCGGCTGACTTATCGCCCTCGGCGCATATGCGTACTCTCAGCGGGCCGACATTGTTGGCGTTGGGAAGGGCGCCCCGCCCGGGGAGGTGTTGGGCGGGGATGTCGGCTTTGAGGACGCGCATGCCGGGGGTCCAGCGCAGGACCTTTTCGGCAGCCAGCGTCATGTTTTCGCTCTTCTGCTTCTTTGACAAATCCTCATTCTTTTTTTGCTTCCGATTATGCTGCTCCCATCCGGCGGAGACTTTGATCCTGACGGCGTCATTGTCTTCTGGTGTGAGGAAGGAGTCGCCGAGGTCAGTTGTGATTGTGAAGACGACGTTGAGGGACCAAGGGTGTTTCCTGTTGTCTTCGTGGGTGAGCGTCGGAGCACGGAAAAGCCGTATGTAATGCATTGAAACGTTGGTGTGAAGATTGAGTCTGACTTCCTACAGATTCATTCGATTTTGAGAGTGTCGTTGAGTGTCGTCGATGAGCTCGCGGGTGAGGGACGAAAACTGAGAAGTCGCTTAGTCACTCACTTCTGACCAGTAGGAGCTCTCTTTTCGTGAATAAAGCGGGTCGCTAGCTCTGCACCGGACACCTCCTTCCGCTCCAGAGTGTGATGGCATTGCTCGTCGATAGTTTCACAAGGCTTCTTTCAGCTCATATGCAAAGAGTGAATGGGTAATGAGAAATGAGATGTCGTGAAAGTTCAGGCTATTGAATATGTATGACGCGTCGTGAAAGGTCTGCTACATCATCAACAACACCAGCTCAACTAATATGCTACCTAGTACCCGCCTCCGAAGATATGGGTAATCCGTTCAAGATTCACTTTGCCACCTGCAAGAAAAGGTATCAGAGTTGAATGTCGTCAACTGAGTTGCCTTGTCTCAGTATTGATCGACTATGACGGCTGATGCCTTGGTACTGAGTTAGTCCCTCTAGCGACTACACAAGATAAGGACATGGGTAAGGGCAAGTGCTTCTGGCAAGAATCGCCGATGAGGTACCACATATGAAGTGAATCTTCACTATGTTGAACTCATTCACTGTAGAAAATCGCTCACCTCACGGAGTATGAGCCTCCAGGCAGAGACAAACTTGTCCAGCGGGAAAGATCTGCCTATAAAGCTACCACGAGCTCAATGAAAGGTTCTTTGCTCGCCAGCCTATTTCAGTGTCGAGTACCAGCAGGAATGCTGCGGTAGATGCTCTGTCAGCTAAGGCAAGCTGTATATTGTGCTGTGATTGATATACACGCCATATTCCATCGTCCCCACCTCTAAGTTGAAAGCTTGACTTGAGGTAAGATATCTTGCTCAGTTACCTATCCCATCTTCTTCCACAGAATATCCCGTGCTGGATACCTTTGATCGGAAAACCAACGGACGAAGATGATTGAATCATAGTTTCGGTCAGGGATTCCATCTTCCAATCCACCGGATTGAGATGATGATTTGACTCAAAACCTTCTTTTGTGTGAGAGGTCAGCGGTTTTGAAGGGCTTTCCTTTAAAACTGCCGCGAGCTTCACAAACAAGCATTATTACCTATCTGTTCGCTTCATCTCGAGGCAAAGCGCGCACTCGCTGGACGCATTGTGGCTTCTATGTCCCACAGGTTTGCCCCCGACGATGTAAATGGGCCACCCGTTGAGTCTCCATCATCTCGAGGCTTCAGAGGAGTAAATTTGTGCCGTCAATCCACCAAACCCCATGACTTTCTCTGGAATATTCCATGCAGAATACTCCAAGTGAGACGGTGAGTGTAGACGGCTAGCGTGCGGTTCCTAGTGCTCTTAATGCATCGTGACATTCGCATCGAGACTGGAGTCCTTCTCTCAATCCGATCTGCAGAAAATCCAGGACGCTATCGATGATGCAAACGCAGGCTTACCAATCCAACACTATCTTCGGTCACGAATCCTATTCCTCAGGCCCAAATTGTTGATTTTATATTGGCCTGCTTGAGCAAACCCAACCTAGAAGCTCCCCGCGGCCTCCGATCGGAGACCGGCGACAAGTGGACCCCATCTTCCGGGTTTCACCCTACAGGCTTCCCGATTGGAAACCAACACATTCTCAGTAGTTATAGATACATTACTTACTTTCCACTTCATCCTCAACCCGGGCTGCGTTTTTTATACAGTTCCAGCCTGTCAACCATAGCTAAAAAGAGACGCACTCCCGTCTTAGCGCTCGGAACATCTCCCACCTCCGACCCTATAAACATCGCAGACATCGGAGGTCGCCGCCACCAAGCCCGCCGCGACCGGAAACAGTAGAACCCCCATCCCGCCATCCCGCGCTACGGACACCTCCGATGGTAGGAGGTCGGCGCCCACTCATGCACGGTAATTGGGTAGGTAGGTCTTTACTGTAGGTACGTTAGACATGCGCGTACGGATAGCATCTGGAGATTTACGATAAGCGTCGCGGGGTTGATAAAATCGCGGGTCCATCCCAGTTCCACATCACCCATATCAACACCAACAAAACTTTGACGATCAACAATCAACTTCACAAAATAATTCGCACACAACTCTAGAGTACACAATTCGACTTCACCGCTACACGAATTCTTGGAATAGTAAAGAAGACATCACCTACCATAATGGCCACAGAACCCCCCCTCCCAACCCGCGACCCAAAAACCGTCCTCGCCTCCCTCCTCTCCCTCACAGAAACCCGCATCGTGCCCCTAACAGCCCGCGGCGTCTCCTCCGGCTCAAAACTCTTCGGCGCCGCCATCTTATCCTCTTCCTCCGACGCCCTCACCCCCTACACAGTCTCCACAAACGACGAACGCACCTCCCCCCTCCTCCACGGCGAAATAAATTGCATCCAAACCTTCTTCACGCGCGACTTCCCCGACCCGTCCACCCGCCCCTCCCCGCGCACCGACTGCGTCTTCTTCGCCACCCACGAGCCCTGCTCCCTCTGCCTCTCGGGCATCGCCTGGTCCGGGTTTCGGGAGGTGTATTACCTCTTCACGTACGAGGACAGCCGCGATCTGTTTGCGATCCCGCACGATATCAACATCTTACAGCAGGTCTTTCGCGTGCCGGCCGAGGGGGAGGACGAGAGTGCGTTGGGGAGGAGGGAGTTGTATAACCGGACTAACCAGTTCTTCACGGCGCGGAGTTTGGGGGACTTGGTGGAGGAGATTCAGGATGAGGGGGAGAGGGCTCATTGGAGGGGTGAGATGGAGCGCGTTAAGGGGCTGTATAACGCGTTGAGTGAGACGTATCAGGAGGGGAAGAAGGCTGGGGCGGAGAGTTCGAGTGTGTGGAAGTAGAGTGAGGAAGCGGCAGGTTTGAGGAGATTCGTCAGTGGCGGCGTTTGGTTTACGGATACTAGGCGTTATCGCTCAAACTTTTTGAGTCCGCGTTGGTGGTGTTGGCAGTGGCTGGGAGAAATCGACGCCGGTGATGGGGTCGGGCTGCTCCCATAGTCGAGGGCCGAGCTCGTGAAGACGGCGTCATGCTCTAGCATCGATATGGAATGCCGCCGGCGATGACTGGTGTTCAGCTAAAGGATTAGAGATACCACTAGGAAACACTCGTTCCCGAATTCAGCTATAACCTCCCAGCCACGTCCATCATATCTACTATTTTCGAAGCATTGAGTCATTGTAAGGTGTGTAAAGATCGCCGTCCAACCCACCGCGTGCCGTCAATACCTCATCCCGGCCGGCCGTGTCCCAGCCGTGGGTGAGACCTCCGCGACGGCAAGGAAAAGGAATAGCTGCACTGATCAACGTCGCATGGCATACGGCACTCACCACCGAAAGGGAGGGGGGCCGATTCTCGGCCGGTCCAGTAGTGGCCATGGCCGTGGTCCGTACCAAGGCAGCAAGATCCTGCACGTCGAACGGCCGCGCCCAAGATCCCTCGGCCCCCGAAGCTGAACCTCACCCGCCGTTCTTCACCGGGCAGAACATCGTCCCGACGCAGCACACTGTGCTGGCAGAGATATGCTGACGATCCCGCGGCGGTTATAAACCAAGCAGACGAGGGCGGATATGCAGGCGCGGGGTAAAGCAGACCGGGGCGTGTAGGCTGCGGCACGGCGGTACGAAATACGTAGTAGTGTACAATCTTCCCCCTGTCGATGAGGTACATACCTTTGGAGTGCGTTCTTCACGCCCCCCTCTTCAACGGGTCCCCTTTCATGGGGTCTGGAGCATCGCCATTGGCCGGTTTCGTCTGGCCTTTCCCATGTGGCCCGCTGTCGTTTTAGGCACATGCAGAGGCGGTTTTCGGCGTGGGGAGCACGTTGCGGAACGGAGTCGCCCGGGTTTAACGGGCCATGGACATGGGCGTGAAGGATGAGGGGAAAGGAGACGATGGTCTTTGCCGGATCGGCCGGGCATGGCGTGCGTCGTTACCAGCCTGAGGGACCAGCGAATTTGCTGAAATTGAACGCACTAGCAAGTGGTCTTTTCGAGATGAACTTTTGGTGATGCTGCGGTGCGCGGGTGAGAAACAGGGTTAAGGGCCTTCATTACGTTGTGCAGTGCATGGCATGGCTGCGCAAGGCATCATCGCAGACTGCGGCTAGAATAGATGGAGTCAACTCCAAGAGGGATCCATAACTGTGCAGCAACAGGAGACAGACGCGGCCGCTGCTGCTACTGCATCACATCACAGCTGTTGCTGAAGACCGAGAGACGCAGGCGAGAGAGAGTGTAGGTATCTGTGTTCGTAGGAATGATGATGATGGGACAAAGTCTCCGCAACGGCCGCCCCTCCCGCGCATACTAGCAGCCTAGGGTGAGGGTCTCTCTCTACCCTTTTCCCTCCCGGTTATTGTTTGTTCATCTCGAAACCCCCTCCTTGTTGGTTGCATGCAGACGCCATCCGTGGTATCCCGGCGGGTAGGGAAGAGAAAAAAAGACGCAGTGAGCAGCCATGTGTCAGCACACCCGTCCGCGATGATAGCGTGAGATTGCACCAGGCGACGCGACAGCCGCGGGGACAGGAGTCGTGATTGAGATACCTACCTCAGACACATTGTCACACGCACTATCAGTTCATTCCAGACATCGAACAGGGTGCTGAAGTTCGCTGTACAGGCGTGGTTCCGTATGACAAACAGGCAAGCATGTCCAGAGCTGTTTGACCCAACTTTTGACCGGAGCACGCCCTCTTGCTCTCATCGGGACCTCAAAAGGGAAACGGGAGAGCAAGGGAAACGTGGGCAGAGGGAGGGGGAGTGTGCAGCTGTTGATGGATTCATCATGGGCGATGATGGAGGATGACTGGCCGGGCCAAGGCGACTTTTCCCACTCGTGGTGATTAATGACCAGTGACAGGCCGCTAAAACAAGCTGAAAAAGAGGAAGACGGGAGCCGCGACGAACGGTCCCAGGTTGGAACGGGCCGACACAGCACTACTTCGTACCGACACTGGTTCTCTCTTCCTCTCATGGGCTACCCTTGTCTGGGTTCTCGGGGGTGTGGTGGGTTGCATTCTCTAGTTTGCAGACGCGCAGGTTGGAAGTTGGAGGGTCCGCTGTGACTTCGCTGTGAGAAATGACGCAGGCTTCCCACTTGGCTAGTGAACTGAGGGCTGAAGGTGACAGACGAATCCCCAAAAATAACAAGCTGCCGAAGCGTCGTTGGCTGTGCCGCGCTGTGCATACTGGTGCGTTTGCACCACCACGTACATGCATTCGCGGTTGGTGTTTCTTGGATTGTTGGATACTGGGGAGAGCCAGTCGGGAGGCTTGTCGATGGCACCAATTGTGTTATTTTCTGCTAATCCCGCCGTCTATTGGGTAGCACCGGTGAGACTGTCCGTTGATCACTGGGCTGAAATTCTGGATGGCTTCCTGTGGTGCAAGGTGAAGCAGTGGTCAGCTTATTCAGGCCAATCTCGGAGGTTGATGCATGACAGAGGCTGAGCAAGGCGCGATGTCTCTGACTGCTTCCTCTGGATGACAGAGTTCCGGCAATTGTTTGGATTCTCATGACAGCGGCGTGTATGAAGGAAGCAACTCGACATTGACAGACACGGATGATCTGGCCAGAGAAGAATGGAGGGGAAACATCCTCGCATCCTCCGCCTCCTTCACCTCGCAAATCAGCCCCTCAATTGCAGTTGCCCCTCCTCGTCTCAATCCCATGGCTGTTTCCTTTGACGGGTCCAAATGGGTCTTGTCATGGGCCATCGACGTCAACCCCGCCTTCTCGGTTTATCAAATCTGAGATTACAGGTGACTTCCCGTCTCAGCCCCCTCACAAGCAGGCAGGCCTCTGCAGTTCACTGAAACGGCTCCATGATTCGCTAGACAACTTAGTTGCGAACGTGTCTTTGGAGGTGTGAGTGGGAAGTTGTCCCGTTTACCGCGGTTTTCTGCCTCCCAAAGGCTTCAGATTCAAGGCTTTGGGCCTCGTCAACCCTCTGCTCAGTCAAAACACAACCCGATTATCATCCTGTGACAGCCTTTTGAAATCCTTGCCAAGCGAGATCCGATCGGCTTCACTGCAATCCCAACCTACCTCAAGAGGATGCGATCGGAAAGTCCTGCACCTCCAGTTGGACGCCTGGCAAGCCAAACCCAAGGCTTCTGCGATTGTAACAATCGGGGCTTTTGATTCGCAACTCAATTACAAGAACCCTAGCTTGAGTAACCTGCTGAAGTACACTGCGTTTTTAACCCCCCCTGAGTTGTCGTGTACTGGCAATGTACTGCTGAGCGATGAATATGTCGTGCCTCTGGTTGGACACTCATTGAAAAACTGATTGGGCTAGAGTATGTCCGTCACTGGCCCCCGATTTCACTGCAACTTTAACCTCCTCCAAAAGATTACGGACCGCCAGGCTTAGCCCCATTATCGCTCATCGCGTATTTAAGATTCAGAAACATCCAAAATTTAGCATCATGGCTGACTTGGGTTGAATTCCCAGGGATTTCAGACGGATACCTGCGGATGACAGTTCTTCATCACTCCCAGGGAGCAAGAATCAAGGGATCCATGGCGCGCTGACCACTGTCTCTCCGCGACTCTTCAGCCTCATGTGAGCAACCAACACCGTTGCAAGGGCGCGTCAGAGACATCAAACACACGCAAGGGCGATGAACCAACGATTCGAGCACCTGGAACCGAATTTCTACTGGCTGTACGGCGGGAAGAGCGGCATCCTTCACAAATCCCATTCCGATCGTCAGCCGTCCGTCATCTCAGACACGGATGGTTACATACCTGCCATTCGCGCCTCTCACCTGACCTCTCACCTGAATCTCATTTCACAAACTCATCTCAAGAGATTATCCCACATGAAGAGCGACTCACTCACTCACACCTCTGCCTGCTATCGTGCATTTCACAACCTCCGCCTCGTAGGGCTGCCAACGGGCCCCTTTGGCCGCGGCCCATCTTGGCCCCCAATCCCGCCCGCACCGCCGATCTCCCCAAGATTGTGAGCTTCTCGAATCACACCAGACGCGGTCATCGTATCATTCGCTAAAGTAGGCAAAAGGTAAACGCAAGCCACCCGTGCCACCGTCACACTGAGTCGCAGCCTGCTCACGAGAGTACCTTGCACTTTCACGCACCTCGTGTACCTTCTCACCACTGCTCACTTGCCTAGGTATTACAGATTATCAGTCACCCTGTTCAACGTGACCGTGCCGAGACCTCATGTGTCTATTCACATCCTCAGCCCCCGATCGACAACGATGTAGACGCGCCCAAGAAAAGAACGCCCGCTGTAACTAACCTGAAGAGAAAGCTGTCCATCGTGTATAACACGGCACACCTAAAGTAAGCAGCAAACCAAGCCAAGAGGGGGAAAACGTGGTATCACTTGATTGAGACTGCCGACGCCATGCACACCACCCGCGCCGCTGATTGGCGAGATTAGCGCTGAGGCCCGACGTGAACGAACCCCAATTTGGAACCTGCACACACATCCGCGCATCCCAGCTTCACGCGTTCACGCCAGACACCAGACACCAGACACCAGATCCCTACAGTACAACCCAACACACACATCACTCCCATCCTCCCTGTCCATCTCTCCAACCGGCCAGCCGCACCATATTGTGCCGTACTACCTACTCACCCCGTTCTCCCAGCCTTGCCATATACCTTTTTCCTGGTTGGATCGTCAACCCCCAAATCAACCACCTGAGATTTGCACGCCCCCTCCTCTGAGTGGGAAACAAACACCATCCTAGATATAGGTACCCAGACTATCTGTAGAGAGTGTGACTTCAGGTTCGTGGCAAGCAAACGGGCCTGCCAGCCGCCCAGACGCCCGCCACGGGGAGAAACATCATCACCTCGTCACACCGAGAAGCCAGCCCCTCCCCACCCTCCAGATAGGTGATAATTCATTCCCCTGCTCACCTTTCACGGTGCTCTTTGGTCCCCTTCCGTCACAGGGAGGAGGACCTGAAGCCAGTGTGCCACCACACCCGTCATCTTCCCGTCCCCAAACCTGGCTCACTCCAACGAATGTTCACAGAGCGGCAGACAGTGCAAAATACCCAGCCCTGCCCAGGAGGGCGTGAAGATTCCAACCCAGCCCACCCAGGCAAAGCCAGGTTCTTGAGCGCTCTCACTCATCATCTAAAACCCGTCAGTTCGATGGGCTTAACTCTAGCTTACACTGCACCTAGAAGACATCAGGACACACCACCGCCCGAAAAGAAAAGTCCCGCCCGGGCCAGGAGGTGTGCCACACCGGCCGGCCGGCGCGTTTTCTTCTTCCTCCCACAGCGATGATTGTCCCCCCCGTACACGGCTTGCCCCACGCTAAGAACCCCCTAACCCCCCGGTCGTCGCCGTTGTTTCGTCTCGGCAGCGCGGTTTTTCTAGGTTTTTTTTCTGTCCTGTCGTTCAAGCACTCGTATGTATCGCGAAAGAGCCTAAAGTAGAGCTAGAAAAGAAGAAGAAGGAAAAAAAAAAAAAAAAAGGCATCATCGGAAGTCATCACCCGAGTCTGTGTACAATTGAGATCTGATATTTGGAAAGATCACGTTTCTCTGGGTACAGATGCCCCCGTCTTTCCCTGGGCGCTTTCTCAAGAAGCGATGCAGGCCTGGTCCTCTTCTCAGCTTCGTGCAAATCTTCACACACTCACTCATAATCATTTCCCATCCAGAAAATCGAAACGAATAGACTTGAAACAGGCATACAGGGACAAAAGCATGACTCGCCCTTGACCGCGAACCACGCTCTATGGAGTACAGACGCGCCGTCATCACCCTCCCCGTCCGTCTCATCTTCACCACCAAACCCCCCACCCCCATCCGTCCTTCCATGCTCCCGGGCCCCAGTGTAGGTACAGTAGTGCAAACGCACGTCCGAAGTAAACCGGCTGTGCAAACAGAAAAAAAAAAACTCTCTTTTTCGAGAGGAGCGTCTGAACCATTGCAACCTAAGAGAGTTCAGACACTGTAACCGTGCCCTCAAACGACCCTGAAATCGAGAAGGAAGGGAGGAAGGAAGGCCGGTCTTGGTCCCTCCCGTCTGGTTTGGTAGTCTGATCTTCCGGCTTAGACCCCTATACGCTGGCCTCAGTCTCTGAGGAGGGGGACTAAAGAAAGAAAACAGTGAGAAAAGGAAGAAGCAAGTGTTCCCGCAACTCGTGAGACCCTGGTTGCGGTACACCAGTCAAGCGCGTCTAGGACCATCAGCAAACAACCTGTCCTCCCGTTTCTTCTCATTGCCGCTGGTAACGGACCTCCAACATGATTGTTCACACACAGACAGAACGGCAAATCACCTCTCCGATGGAACTCGTTTCTTTGCCCCCCTCTCCACTCACGTCTGCCTTGCCCGTGAGCTGACTCCGTGGCATCGAGTCAAGACCCAAGTTGAAAGTCTCACAGCCCAGTCTCACTGTCTTGCACTTGGCATACATCAACAAGAGACATTGATCCAGCTCATGCAAGCCCGTTGAGGGATTTTTTTTTCCAACCGCAAAACCATTGACACATTCTCTTCTTAAATCCAAATCATGCCTCTTCTCCGCTTCTCCAAATCTCCCTAGGCTTCCGACCTTGACGCATTCCAGCGTTCTCCAACGCAAAAGAGCTCCAGGTCGGGCGTGCAACAAGAAGAAAAAAGAGAGGCCAGATTGAGTTCAAGACACCAACATACTTCTCAACTTGCTAGGTAATTTGGCTTGTTATCCGTACAAGAATGTATACCGTAGATCCAGAAGCAGACTTCCAGCTCAGTCCGGTCCAGAAACAGGAACATGTCAAACATGAAAAAGTGGAGTTTGAAGAAAATCAGAGACGGCCATGATATGCAGGTAATCACAGCCCAGATGAATCGACATTTCTCTCACGGTCTCAACTCTCAAATGTCTCGCACTCTTCGTAGCCCTAATCCTCACGCCCCCAATGAACAAATAATGCCACCAGACAGTCCCCGTCTAGACGGACACAACGGATGAGCAGGTCCAACGATCCATTGCTTCCCGTGTCCCCCGACTCCCGCTGTCTCCCCGCTACCCCTGCGCCGCATCGCCCGGGCTCAAATCCTCGCATCCCATATCCATCAACGAGCTACCTACTAGATTTTAGGACAGTCGCCAGCCTCCAGAATAAACCACATCATCCCCCGCGTGATGTCGCGCATGGCAGGACCCTAGTCGCATGGAAATACCTCCCCCGAACCGCCCCGCGCGGAGCCCTTCGCTTACGAGACTTACAAGGGTGGCTGGCTGGTCAAATGACCTCATAACTATCCTCACGATCGAACCACCGTCCGCCAAATCCCTAACAACCGCACAGACGAACAAGGGTTCTTCTCTTCACGATGGGGTTCGCTCGCACTTCTTCTTTTTCCCTGAACGGAGCCACGTGGGAAATCAGGACCCCTGTCATAGATGTTGTCCGAGGACGACGTTGATGTCAACCATGTCACCCATCACTCAATCACACATGTCACATTGCAAATCATACACAGTAAAGGGCACAAATGTTAAGAATGATACTGATTGATTTCTGCAACTATTTCTCAGACTCGCTTCCCCCGCGGAGCCAGTAACAAGGAAAGGAAGGGGTATATCCAGCTCCTCCGTAATATTCCTGCCAGTTCGAAAGGAAAAGCGCTTCGACTCTCGTAATGATCGAGCCGTGTGAACAATAATAAAAAATAATGACGAGCTGCGCTTCCAGTGCGGCGTGTTGTGGATGCTGTAGTGCAGTCCAAGAAACAAAAGCAAAACCAAATAATCAAATCCCGTGCATCCGTCTAAATAAATTCAACTTGTCGAGGCTGCGTCCTTGCAAATCAACGACCATATTACACGTAAAAGCTGTTTCCCTGTTGTGCGCGCAAGCTTTGCGATGGCAAGGTTTCCAATAGTGTTGAACCAGGCCCAGTAAACAATGAAGCATTCCTGATAAAAGCGCAAGCACGCTGTCCTTTTCCATGACTGAAACGTGTTCCAGTCGCCCGTGGTAATCATTTCGCAACCAAAGCATGCTTTTGATGTCCATCCCTGTAACACAAGGTCGATGATGCCGTGCGTTCGTTCGTTCGTGTCGTTCTCGTCCCGTGTAGGTTCGGGTCCGTGTGGTATCTTGGGTATCGCAAAGAAAAAGTCCTTGGTATGTATCCCCGATGCATAATAGCTTGCGCCAGATTATGTTTATGGTGATGAATAGAGGGAAATCCAAATCCGTCGTGTTTCAATGAGATGGAAATGGAAACTCCCGAGGAAAAATGAGATCCGGAAAAACATATTCCTAATCGTACAATTGGCAACTCCATCCGTCGGTTCGATATTGGGTTTTCTTGGTTTTTTTGGGTGGTAATAAGGTATGGCTCCGATGGTTCATCCGTTGGCTTTCTTGATGGTACTCCGTCCATGGAATGTGGCAGTATAGACAGAAAGGAAACCAAGGGAAGAGTGTCCGAAGATAAGAGTCCATTTACTTCTCAGGGTTCTTGAGGATGTCATCACAGTTGGCGTCGAATCGGAGGATGAAGAGACGAACACCCTGCATGAATCGCTCAGTCTTGTCCAACTCACGTTCGATGCCGAACAGAGTCTCGACGAACTGAACACCAGCGTTCTTGCCGAGAGAAGAGGACTTCTTGCTGGCCTTGAGCATGGGTGCCTCGCAAGTCTTGAGAAGCTTGCGAAGCTTGTCAGTCAGGCGCTCACCAGCATCGATGAAGTCATCAAGGATTTCCTTTTTCTCGGTGCTGCGCACGCGTTCGATAGTCTCCTCTCCGCGCTTAAGCTTGCCGGCCAACTGGATCAGTAGCAACCACAGCTCACCTGCCATGTCAGCAATGGGAGTGGCAGGGCCATGGTGGTAGACAGTCCAGTCGTAAATCCACTTGCCCAAAGAGTTAGAGTCGAAGACACTACCCAATAGAAGAATGGGCTCTTCGGTGGGATCCCAGTTTTTGAGCGAGTATCCTGAGGGGATCTTGTGCCTCTTGGCGTCTTGTTCAGTGGCCGCGCGAGACACTGGGGGCGGTTGGGGCTTCTTGGTCTCAGTTTGAGGTTGAGCCTTCTTGGATGCCTGAGAACTGCTGCCGGGGCGAACGGTGGAGGGCCTCTGGGGAACCGAAGTCGAGGAACGGCGAGAGTGGCTGTTGGCAGGGGTACGGGAGGGGCGAGGTTCATACGCTGGAATATCGCGCTCAATGTAGGCAAAACCGCTCTGTGCATGGGAACGGTAATCAGTGGGATATCCTCGACCATCCTCATAGTAAAAAGTCTCCTGAACAGAATGCCTCTTGCTCCTCGCCCGTGACGACTTGCCCGGCACCAGATAAGTACGGCCATCCACTTCGATAATCTCGTCGTCGGATTCTCCGTGGGGCGTCGCGGCCCGTACATAGACAAAAGAAGATCGGCGCTCGCGCGGTGGGTGCGACGGAGTGGCCCATGAATGCTTGCGCGAATGATGACCACTACTCACATTTGCCGTGGCATAGTAGCCATCGCTCGTGTATCGAGGCGACGCCGTCGGCGGACGGGGACTGTACTCGCTGAAGCCACTGCTGGGAGTACGGAAGTGGGAGCGGGTTGCCGGACGCTGCGGGGTTGAGCCGGGCGGGTAGTAGTAGCTGGAGGAACCCCGAGGGGATGGAGTTGGCGTTGCCGACTGGAATCGCTCCCGGGCGTAGTAGTACTCCTCGGGAGTAGATCCGGTGTAGGGGGATGAGTAGGCCATGTTGACTGATGGCTCTTGGTGGCGAGGTCGATGGGAGGCGTCCACGGTATTCTTCAAATCTGTCTTCTTCTTTTTCTTCTCTAGCAGCTTCCTCTGCTAGCTCTCACGACTCCCCCCAAAATGTCGATAGGTTGTGTCGATGCGGATGGTTGGTTCCAGGGCCAGGGTGTCGCGCCGGTGTCGAGGCGCGAAGAAAAGGTGAAGCAAGTCACCTTGGTATGCGGTCGGATGATAGAGGAGAGGAAGTTTGTCTTCTGTGCCCGAACATGACCAAGTTTTGATATAACTGCTACAGGTTACCCTCGATGACCAAGGATGGAAACCAGATTACCGAGCTCGGGAAGGAATCTTCTCGACGTCGGTAGTGTATGATGGATGGAAGTTGCTGGAGGCTTCTTAGAGGACGCCAGCGAAGCAACGAATGACGACTCTTATGTCGAGGTTGAGTTGAAAGTGGTTGGTAGCCGAAGCCGAAGCTGTGAATGTCAAAGAATATTCATTGATTGGCAGAAGCCAAAAACATGAGAAGAGAGGAGAAGTTCAAGAGTAGTGGTGAGGGCAGCGTGGTATTTAATTACTTGGTGCGTTTTCCCAGTTTTTGTGGGAGAGGAGAAGGGAGGAGGAGTGGGAATGCGCGCGAGAAAGGTCCACAGGGGGTGGTAGTCCAAAGTCTCGCAGTCTCGCACCGGGGCGTGGTGGCCTGGCCGGAGGAACCAAAGCAGCTCCCTTTTTCTGATCCCTGTCCCCTGCTGCAGAGAAGGACAGGGGTGGCAGGGGTGGCTGGCTTGCCTTAGCGTACGAGCACACGGAACCTGGCTCCAATTTAGAGCGCCCCCTCTTGGGAGGGAACACAGACGACAAGTTCCTGAGGGGGAGGCGTGTCCCTATTGCTGGACTTCTAACAAAGTACCTCGTGCTCGCTGCTGTTCTGCGCTGTTCTGCTTCTCTGACCTGCTTGTTCAGCTTTGGTGGTGAGTAAAGGGAGAGGAGCGATTACTCACACCTTGGGACCCCGGTCAGCCCGCCGCAGTGGGCGGATAGATGGATGCTTGATCGAGAACAGTAGATGGCAGCTCCCAATGAGAATGCTGATGCTTTGCCGCTGCTGCTGGGTACTCCCTTTTGCAACACCAGCCTCCTGCGCGAAGACCTACACCGTACGGTGTCGACTGGACCCCTTTTACACGTTGGGTGAACGCTTGTCTCTCTCCCTGGCGTGTTCACCTCTCGGCGATAGACCAATAGACAGTCCTTTGTCTGGCCTTGCGTCGTTGTTCGTCCTTCGTTTGTGCGTTTGTTCAAAATCGCGCGGAAGCAAGCAGCGACTCAGATCCTCAGACCGTCCAAGCCCGTCAAGTCCGTGGTTCAGCCAGCTGTCGCGACGCACCAATGCGCAGCCCACCTTAGGCTGCTTCGCTGGGGCTTGAAAAGTTGCAGTAGTCGTGGTCGACAACGACGATAATGATGATGAGGAGGATGATGACTCCAGTCTGGTTGGCCACAGTACCGGTTAGAATATGTCAATCACCGTTGTGTAGTGTACTCGTGGCACAGCTCGATGCAAGTGCGCTTTGGTTCGCTGCTGACTCGAGAGAAGCTCCTGGAAATAGAAGACACACACACGATCGCGCCCCCAAAGGCACGTCCGTGGAAATAAGGGGTGGCAGTGAAGAATGCACCTCGTCGTCCAGGCCACTTGCGTTTGCCTGCGGTCGCCCTGTGGCCTGCTGCAAGTTGCAACTCGATCCCAACGTTGGGCACTGGCGCTGGATCCCTTTGATTGCTTTTCTGATTGTTCGAGTAGTGACACACACTTTCTCCTCTCTCTCGGCGGTCCAAGTTGATTCTGATCGATATCCTAATCTCAACCTTCCACATTGGTCTTCCGCCGGGGTTGGAATGAAAATGAGCAGGCCCTCGCCCACGGAAAGGTGAAGATCGATATTCACACCTTGACGCTGAAATTAGCCACACCAGTATCAAAATCCGGTCACCGCTTCTGATAGTGACTCCGGCGCCCTAAAGGCCGGGGATAATTAACACCCTGACCACACAGGCAGACTCAGGACTGGGAGGCCGTGTCGTTTCAATGAGTCGACGCCAGTGTACGTGGGACCCCCGGCTGGCGGTTCCTAGTCCCCGGACGCAACTTGTTCGTGGGCGTGGGAGAGCTAGAGGGGCGAGGGGCACCAAAGAAAAAGAAAAAGAAAAAAAGTCCCAGAGATAAAGCCCAGTGATCCTTGTGAAGGTAGGCGCTGCCGTGTGGGTAAATTTACCGGTGACGAGTAAGCGAAATTGGGTCTTCGCACGAACAGGCGTGAAATTTGAATTTTGGAGATGGCTTCCACCACCCACACCAAAAGAGAGACGGAAGAAGTCTCCAACGGTGCCACGGGGGAATCTTACCGGGCCAGTGCCGCAGCACTGCCGCTAGAGCGTCCTAGGTGAAAAATTTTCTCGTTCCCCTGGCGTAACGTGGCTGGCCGCAGTCTGGTCCTTGACCATCCAACACAGGGTTGCAATTGTTGGGATTCCGAAGGTGAATCACACCGTGTCAAGGTGAAGGCCACCGAAACATGAGCCCACCCGCCGTCGACCAGCCGGAAAGGCTTGGAAAACTCAAATGGAGTTGCTGGTATGGAGATGATTTGATGGTTCAGGTTTGCAATGTTGACGGGATTCCACAGAGGATCAATGGGATGCAAATAGGGGTCGTGTACGACGATAGTCAACGTTGCGCTGACTTTGACTTTGCGCCCAGCCAGAGGTGTGAAGAGGATCGGCCCCCGAATTGCTTTGGGTGAGCCTGGTGCGTGTTATTGAAGCTGGCGGTGGTGATGTTGTTTGTGTGGTCGTGGCCAGGTGCTGCCTGCTAATCTTGTTCCGTGCGCTCTCGGTGAGGCGGTTCGGACGAGCAAGGTAAGGTTGACCGTTGTGGACTTGTGGTAGAGAAGGACGAGGGTCTCGCGCTTGATGGATCCCAGTCGCGACCCTGGAGGATGGATCAAAATTTTCTCTTCCTGGCCTCGATCCCCGGCAGCCGCACGTCTCTCGGGTCGGTGTCGAGTCACGGTCGATTCGATGTCCTGATGGCAGATGAAATTTGCCGATGCTCGGAATGAGCAAGTTCAGTCCGTGGTGTCTTGTAGCCGTATGGAGCGGAAGTTGGAAGAATGGGACTGGACAGAGACGGTTCTCGGTTGGTGATTGCACGCCAAGAGTGCTTGCTGCACGACGGGAAGAAGCTAAGAGCTGGGGTTTGTCGTATCCGCTCGCTCGCTTGGTAATCCCGTCTGGAGTGAATGCTGACTAGGTGCTGACCGCTGACGCGACTGCGATCAAGCAGAGTAAGGTAGACCGTAGAAGCCAGCTAGCCTGGCCAGTTGATGGCTCAAGAGACTTTGAAAGCTCTCTGGAGAAATGCGCCGGCTGTCTGGTGCAATTGTTGGTTTATTATATTGGGATAAGTTGTGTGGCAGAGATAATGAGTTGTCGCAGGAGCAGGCAGCGCTGCTGTCACCTGCTTCGTATCAGGTGCCTGACCTTGGGATGGTGAGGCCGCAAATATGATGATGGAGCGGGAAAGAAGAAACGGATGCAGTCAAATGGCAAAGAATGAAAGAGAAGAAGATGAGAAGTCTTGAGGAAGTTGCGTTGCATGTGAGGAGGGAAGGAGTCAGAAGGGACGTTCTTGTACTTTGACGAGGCAATCGCGCAGTAAGGCAGGAGCAAGTCAGATGCAAGAGCACATGAGGAACATTCTGAGGTTGAAGCTGCAACAGCCATCTACGGATACCCAAAGTACGAATACTTAGCTATCCGTATGTATGCGTACATACTTGAGCCTTGTCCAGGGATTGCATGCATGATGGATCACGTTGGCATGGGAGGGGGAGGGGTACGAGTGGCTTTTGGGGATGACGGGCATCAAAGTGCAACTTTTATCAGATGAGATGCAGTGATGCCATTTGCTGCTTACCTTATTTCCTCTCACTTTACTTCCCCCGCATCGCTAGTCACCTGGAAGTTTAGCTGGGTAGTTGGCGCGTGCATAATGAGAGAAAGATAAGCAGAGGCTCAAGTTTGGGGAATACTCTACCTTATACGTAGTGGATTGGTGATAGCAAGGTGCACATATTCACACCGTTGTGAGACTCGCCAGTGAGAGGAGAGAGGCTCAGAGTCTGAAAATGAGGCATGATATGGCAGGTGATGGGGAGCCTGTTTTGCAGCCAGTGACCTACGCTGTTTCCCCCAACGTGAAATGTCAAGTGACTGGCGAACAAGCGCCCATTCAACGTGAGGGTGAGCACCTCTGCAATATGGAGTATGACGATTGGGAGGGAAGAATGCGTGACAGAGTGACATTGCGGAGGTTCGCATCTTGAGTGGAGGAGTTCGCCCATCACATGCACCCCAAGTCCCCCAACGCGGGGTGACGGGAGAGCGGAACATGCAGCAAGAGCCCAGTGATGGCCAGAATTGGCATGGTCGCCCCCTCTCGACTTTCTAGAACGGCCGTCCCTTCCCTGCACTTCGACGCCATTCGAATTGTCGTCAGAGCCAATTGGAAGGAAGCAGCTTGCCCAGGTTTGCTGTGACTTTCACCTGCCTTACCTTCCTCACCTTGAATTCTGACTTGGAAGAGGCAAGCACTACCTCAGCATAGAAAAGGCAGGAGTGATGAGGGGGAAAGAGTCACCTTGCGCACCTTCTAACAACACGACTCTAAAATGTACGTACCTTTTCATGTCGTCAACCACCTCACCATTGGGTGCCACCTCAGGACACCAACATAATCCTCTTCATGAACATCATTGGAATCATCGGCATCATCGTTGAACATCCAACCAGCCAAACATACCGTTAGGATGCATCGTTCCGATTCCCAGCCAGAATTTCGGGTGGTCGCCTCCTCGGACGACGAACATTGTCGATACGAATATCCGTACATGCCCCTGCGTTAGAGTGTGCGCCACAGCTGGGATGAACCCGAGAGCATCCCCGAATTGAACGTCAATCACGTACGTTCTTGGCATGCTAACTTACAGTGCGTATGCAGTCCTTTTGCCCCCTCCTGTACATCAATCCTTTTACTCTCCGACCTCTCGTCTCTGTGCCCGTATTCGTCACTAACGTACACTCAATGACTATTGCTCAGGGCCACATATTGCCTCTCCCGCTGTTCAGCTCCGACCGTACGGCACTGCTTGTATCAGACTCCACAATCGCCGGCGCTGACTCGAAGGCGAACATAAAT